GATACTCAGATACTGTAGCAGGCTGTCATGTCATGGCACTGTTCCTGTTCTTCTTGTCACCTAATATCAGAGACAGTGCCTTCCTGACACTTCGGACGGTCAAGAAGGGTCAATTATATTTACGTGAAGCGCTAAAACCGTGTAGGCCATTCAGGGAAAAGAGCTGTGAAGGTTCGATCCTCTGTACAGATTATTTTTTAAAATAGGAGAAAGATACAGTTAGGCAGTGCCAGTGGTGCTATGATCAGGTGTAACAGAGAATGTTGTATATCACTTACTGACTCCTGGGAGGCACCAGAAGGAGTCCTGAGGCACTTACTGACTCCTGGGAGGAGCCAGCAAGAGTCCTGAGGCACTTAATGACTCCTGGGAGCCGCCAGCTAAGGCCGCCGCTAAGGCATTTACTGTCCCTGAGAGGCACCAGGAGGAGTCTTGAGGCACTTACTGACTCCTGGGAGGAGCCAGCAGGAGTCCTGAGGCATTTAATGACCCCTGGGAGGTGCTAGCAGGAGTCCTGAGGCACTTACTGGCTCCTGGGAGGCGCCAGCAGGAGACCTGAGACACTTACTGTCCCTGGGAGGTGCCAGCAGGAGTCTTGAGGTGCTTACTAACTCCTGGGAGGTGCGAACAGGAATCCTTAGGCCCTTACTGACTCCTGGGAGGTGTCAGCAGGAGTCCTAAGGCATTTACTGACTCCTGGGATGCGCTAGCTGGAGTCCTGAGGCATTTACTGACTCCTGGGAGGCGCCAGGAGGAGTCTTAAGACACTTACTGCCTCCCAGAAGGTGTCAGCAGGAGATTGAGGCACTTACTTACTCCTGGGAGGTGCCAGCAGGAGTCCTGAGGCACTTATTGACTCTTGGGAGGTGCTAGCAAGAGTCGTGAGACACTGACTCTTGGGAGGCACCACAGGGAAGTCTTTTGATACTTATTGACTATTGGGAAACACTAGGAGGAAGCCTTGCGTCACTTACCGATGGCCAGGGAGATGCCGTAGCCAAAAGGTGCCTGGCACCATAAGAGACCCTTGTCGTAGACCTTCTCTGCTGTACCATTGATGTAGCCGCCTCCCACCCATGTTGCTGTAACCATGAATTAAATTGGTTGTAGTCTTTAAAGATGCAACAAAGAAATCAGGAGAACTTTACACTTAAAAACATAACTCGCTCATTAGCACACCTAAGGGACCCTGGCTCTAATGACGTAGTTCTACGTGACAGCCACTGAAAGGGTTAAGAGGCACATAAGTGTGTGTGTTTGTTTACCTGGAGTTTACCTGGAGAGAGTTCCGGGGGTCAACGCCCCTGTGGCCCGGTCTGTGACCAGGCCTCCTGGTGGATCAGAGCCTGATCAACCAGGCTGTTGCTGCTGGCTGCACGCAAACCAACGTACGAGCCACAGCCCGGCTGGTCAGGAACCGACTTTAGGTGCTTGTCCAGTGCCAGCTTGAAGACTGCCAGGGGTCTGTTGGTAATCCCCCTTATGTATGCTGGGAGGCAGTTGAACAGTCTCGGGCCCCTGACACTTATTGTATGGTCTCTTAACGTGCTAGTGACACCCCTGCTTTTCATTGGGGGATGTTGCATCGTCTGCAAGTCTTGTTTTCGTAGTAGTGATTTCGTGTGCAAGTTTGGTACAAGTCCCTCTAGGATTTTTCAGGTGTATATAATCATGTATCTCTCCCGCCTGCGTTCCAGGGAATACGGTTTTAGGAACCTCAAGCGCTCCCAGTAATTGAGGTGTTTTATCTCCGTTATGCGCGCCGTGAAGGTTCTCTTTACATTTTCTAGGTCAGCAATTTCACCCTTGCCTTGAAAGGTGCTTTTTAGTGTGCAGCAATATTCCAGCCTAGATAGAAAAAGTGACCTGAAGAGTGTCATCATGGGCTTGGCCTCCCTATTTTTTGAAGGTTCTCATTATCCATCTGTCATTTTTCTAGCAGATGCGATTGATACAATGTTATGGTCCTTGAAGGTGAGATCCTCCGACATGATCACTCCCAGGTCTTTGACGTTGGTGTTTCGCCCTATTTTGTGGCCCAGAATTTGTTTTGTACTCGGGATGAAGATTGAATTTCCTCGTGTTTACCATATCTGAGTAATTGAAATTTCTCATCGTTGAACTTCATGCAGCCCACTGAAAGATTTGGTTGATGTCCACCTGGAGCCTTGCAGTGTCTGCAATGGAAGACACTGTCATGCAGATTCGGGTGTCATCTGCAAAGGAAGACACGGTGCTGGGCGACACCTTGTCTATGTCGGATATGAGGATGAGGAACAAGATGGGAGCGAGTACTGTGCCTTGTGGAACAGAGCTTTTCACCGTAGCTGCCTCGGACTTTACTCTGTTGACGACTACTCTCTGTGTTCTGTTAGTGAGGAAATTATAGATCCATCGACCGACTTTTCCTGTTATTCCTTTAGCACGCATTTTTTTGCGCTATTAACGCCATGGTCACATTTGTCAAAGGCTTTGCAAATCTGTATATATACATCTGCATTCTTTTTGTCTTCTAGTGTATTTAGGACCTTGTCGTAGTGATCCAATAGTTGAGACAGACAGGAGCGACCTGTTCTAAACCCATGTTGCCCTGGGTTGTTAACTGAGGGGTTTCTAGATGGGTGGTGATCTTGCTTCTAGGACCCTTTCAAAGATTTTATGATATGGGATGTTAGTGCTATCGGTCTGAGTTCTTTGCTGTTGCTTTACTGCCCCCTTTGTGGAGTGGGGCTTTTGGTCTGTTTTTTTTAGTAACTGTGGGACGACCCCGTGTCCATGCTCCCTCTCCATAGGATGGAAAAGGCTCGTGATGGGGCTTCTTGCAGTTCTTGATGAACAGGGAGTTCCATGAGTCTGGCCCTGGGGCAGAGTGCATGGGCATGTCATTTATCGCCTGTTCAAAGTCATTTGGCGTCAGGATAACATCGGAATAGGGGTTGTGTTAACCAAATTTGTGGCTCTCTCATAAAAAAAATCAATTTTTGATCTTCGACTCTCAGTCTGGTTAGCGGCTTGCTACAAACGAGTCATATTGGGACTTGAGTAGCCACTCAAGTCCTTGCTGTCATCTGTGTAGGACCCATCTTGTTTAAATGGGGCCCAATACTGGACGTTGTTCTTGACTTTGATTTGGCATAGGAAAGAAATACTTTGGGTTTCTTTCGATTTCATTTATGGCTTTTAGTCTTCCCGCGATTCCTGACTCCTATAAGATTCCTTTAGCTTAAGTTCGATGCTTGCTATTTCTCTGACCAGTTTTCTCCCTACGCATTTCAGATATATTGACCTTTTTAGCCGCTCTGTTATTCTTTTCCGTCGCCTGTAAAGGGAGCGCCTGTCTCTTTCTATTTTACAATCTACTCCTCCTTTTTCTTAGAGGAATAAGCCCTTGTGCATACATCGATTGCCACCAAGTTAAAAAATGTTCTAGGCATAAGTTGGGGTCTGTTTTTGCTTAATATATCTTCCCAGCTTATATCGGTTAGGACTTGGTTTACTTGGTCCACTTTATGTTTTTGTTATTGAAGTTGAATTTGGTGAATGCTCCCTCGTGACTAGTCTCATTATTCGGTCTGGGGCTCCACGCAAACATGTCTGAACCTCAATTATTTGTGATCTAGTATTTTTGTTTTTGATATGGTGACATTTCTTATCAGATCAAACATTGTTAGTGAAGATGAGGTCTTGTGTATTCTCCAGTCTAGTAGGCTCTATTATTTGCTTTGGGTTTTAAAATTTAATTTTGTGGGCAGAGATTTAAAAGCTCGCGTGAGTGTGAGTTTCATCAGAGCTGCTCCTGGTGTTATTACTGCAACAATATTATTTGCTATATTCCTCCATTTTAGGGGTTTCCCTTAAGTTGAAATCCCCCAGGAGCAAGATGTTGGGTGCAGGAGCTGGAAAATTTTCCAGACAGTGGTCAATTTTTAACAGCTGTTCCTGGAACTGCTGGGATGTTGCATCCCGGGGGCTTTTAGACTACCACAATGACTTGGTTTTGGTTCTCGACCTTACTGCTAAAACTTTCCCCTACATCATTTGAAGCATTAAGCATTATGTGCAACAAGTGGACTCTGCAATGTACAGGCCAACCCCCCCCTTCTTTTGCCCCGTTCACTCCCGTCACATCTGTATAGGTTGTAACCTGGGATTCATATATCGTTGTCCAAGTGATCCTTTATGTGGGTCTCAGTGAAAGCTGCGAACATTGTCTTTGCCTCTGCAAGTAGTCCACGATGAAAAGGGATTTTTGTTTGTTGCTGGCTTTAGACCCTGTATATTTGCAAAGAAGAATGTCATCGGACTGGTGGTATTGTTGGTACTGGGGGGGGGCATTTTTTTCCGGCATTCGTATCAGTATCTGTTGGTTTGGAGTGGAGGCCATCGACTGTGGTTCCACTCCAGGAATGACTGGATTTGGTGTACGATTTCTGCCATTTCTGCCAGTTTTTTTTCCTTCGGCACTAAAAAATCTCTCCCTCTTGAGTGGCTGTGGTACCCAGGTTTTCCATGGCCTGGATGTTTTGTATCTTTTTGTCCCCTTTAGATGGTGTGCCTGGCAATTTAAGTTATAGCACAGTCTTTACTGTACTGAAGAGGTACACAGTTTCAGGGTGAAAAAGCTTACAGAAGGGAGTTTGCATTTTCCTGTTGTCATATGGGCATGGCATTTTCTAGGGGGTCATAGTTGCACGTCCCGTCTGTTTTCCAGATTTTTCCCCTGTCTGCAGATACCAAGTGCATAGTAGTGCACAGGCTTGGTTCCGTTTGCCTTGGGTTTCTGTGACTGTATTCCCTGTTTTGGGGCATGTTTCCCTGTCTTATTCCCTTCCTCCCCAGCACCAACAATGGAGCTCCCACCATTGTTTTGGGTAATATATCCTCACTATTGCTAGTGGAGTACCTCTTGTTTGCTATTTCCTGGGTAAATTTTTAGTTTGCCAATATTGTTTTATCTTATCTTTGACTACACTTGTTTCCCCACTACGGCTCCTGTCCCCTATGAGGTCATTTATATGTATTCCTTCCTGCATATAATTCCCGACTACCTGAACAAAAACTCCCAGCTTCACCATTACTGTCTCCCAGGACAGCACCTCCAGCTTCACCATTACTGTCTCCCAGGACAGCACCTCCAGCTTCACCATTACTGTCTCCCAGGACAGCACCTCCAGCTTCACCATTACTGTCTCCCCGGACAGCACTATCAGCCCCACATTTACTAACTACCAGGACAATCACCTCCAGCCTTACAGTTTCTGACTACATGGCCAGTACAAGGCAGTTTCCATTCAGCCCAGACTTTTTATGTTCCCATCTGTTGTAGAAAAGCTTCCAGGTTGCTATGAAAGCAGCTTTGATGTTATCCCTTCTAATACCCTTTTGATTTTAGTCCACAGATTTATCTCATTTGGGCATACCCAAAAGCACTTCCCTGTTTTAATACTGCTTGTAGCTAGTTCTTGGATATCTGCACAAGGGGCATGACACCAATTTCCACAAAAATGACAATTTATCCATGTGGAAGCCCGTTTGTTTGACTGACCGCAGACTACACAGAGCTTCATAATGATTTGAATGGTTGATTTACTGTAATTCTACTAGCAACCTCTTGAATACTCTATTAATAACCTCCTTAAATGAAGCTCTAGCTATTTGTATTTCTATTTCTAACTGTACTTGTATATTGGAAAAGCTTTCCGTGTACATTCCTGATTTATATTTATTGTTTGTGTTTGATAAGGGCGCCTACAACCCCATCCGTTTACAGTCTACTTTATTGTCCAACCAAACCGTTTATAACCAGTCAAGGGTTCGGACCATCAAGGGTTCGGACCAGTCGAGGGTTCGGACCAGTCGATCTGATCTGATCAGTGGGTCACTTATTTAAAACATACTGGTCGGTGATTTGGGCTAACACATGAAGGATCTACTTGAAATTATCTACCTGAGTAATATGTGATTTGATTAATAGAAAAGTATAACTTGCGTGTTGAAGAACCGGTGATTTCTGGCAGCTCCTACAATGACGAACGGTCGAGCCTCAACCCTTGTTTATCAATCGCTGTATCTAGCTTTTCTA